CAAACAGAAAAGGGCATGGGCAAGACTTTGAAACACAAGAAAGTCTGGGGGAGTGCAGAACTAGTGAGTGGAAGAACCAGGTCATGAGATCAGGAACTGTCAACTAAAGGTATGTAACAAAGAAATAGCCCCAGAGAAGTTGTCCAGAACAGTTGTGATGTCCCATCCCTGGAAGTGTTTAGGGCCAGGCTGAATGAGATGCCATGTTATTTCTGAAAACTCAGGACCCCAGAAGACAATAAAAGAATGCAAACTCAATCTTTATAAAGAAATGTATGTTTTGTTCACTTAAAACTGAAGTTCAGACATGTTTGTCTGTACAATGTAAATTCAAATATTTACAATATTTGGTTGATTTTGTATGAAGTTTCATTCCTTGTAACATCTATGCAGATCCTTCAGTTCTGAATAGCTTTTTTTGCTTTTTCCTCTGAATTTTGCGTAGCTTCTTCTTATCTTTAACAATTGGCTTTGACTCTGGTTTCACAAGCTGTATTTCCACTGGCTTCTCTTCAGCTGGAGTTTCAAAGACTACTTCAGTAGGATCTTCTTCAACAAGGACCTTAGTCCCTTTTTTCTTTATCTTCTGCACTTCTTTCACCTGCTGCTTCTCTCTAAACTTAGCTGCCACTGACAATCTTATCAGCCGGCGATGCTATAAAAATAAGAGTTTAAATTTCATCATGTTTCAAATAAGCACGATGGAAGAAATCTGTTATTAATGAAACTAATTTCTTTAATACTAATTTCTCTGCTTAATAGCCAAGACCCTCAGTGTAACATCATCTTTTCAGTGACATGACTTCTGCATTCACTTCATGATCACAAAACTACTCTGTCCTCAAACTGTCACTAGTTTAGGGCACTACAAAGGGTCATGGGGAAAGGCATACTTGATGTTCCTGCACAGACTGACTGCAAGGCTGGTTTTCAAATTAGTTGCTGAATGAAAGAGAAAACTAAGACAGAACTGCTTACCATATTTGGGGACTGGTAATGAGGATTTTCATAGAGAGTTGGTCCTCCAAAGCTACCTTGGAAGATTTTTATGAGGTTCAGGACAAAACGAGGCCCAATTTCTACTAGAGATGCATCTTCTTCTATTATCTGCAATAAAAAGAAAACTTTCTCAATTTTTACAGATTGAATCAAAGCATATGACCTTGCAGGCACTTTGCATATATATGGTAATACACAATTGAACTTAAATTCAAGATAAGGTACCTGATTAGTTAGATTTGCATAAACCCAGTTCTGTACATAGAGCAGTTCTTAGGAATTCAAGCAAGCTTTTGGAGTACTCTGTATTTGTGAATTCCTTCTATAGAAAGTAAGCTCTAGATCACTTTGGGTCAAAGCAGCAATTTAGGTTAAGGTACAGTTTAGGCCTTGGGTAGTATGAACTGCCACCAAGACATCCCTCACAGAATCACAACTTAATGAATGCAAGTTCAGTGAACCAGATCTCTCCAGAGATATGGGAGAAGGTTGTAATTTCAGGACACTGAATCTGTAAGCACTGGGGGCTGGTATATCCTGATAACAATAATCATGATTCTTATTTCATTTGGTGGATTTGATATGAAGTTACTCCACTGACCTCCTCTTGAAGAGCTAGGAGAGACCACTCACCTGGTAATTGCGAAACCAGATCCTTTCATCAGTGACGGTGAAGGTGAAGACATGATCAACAAAAGGCTGGCTTTTGGGGTGGTACTGTGGTGTACCAAATATCTGTAATAAAAGGCAGAGTTTCTGAACATCTGCAATTTAAGAGGTCACACAAATGGCTATTTTTAAACTCCATTTAATTTACTAAGTTCCCGAACCAAGGTTACATTTCATAACCCAAAACTTAAGAATAAGTGTTTGAGTCATGCTAAGAATATGATCCAAATCCTTTTTGATCTTTTCAAAGTTCAGAAGTGTAGAACTGCTGCTTGAAAAAAAAAACCACTTGCGATTCTTAAGTATGTTGCCAAAAAACATCTCCAGTGAAGAAACACTGGAACTATAGACTGACCTGAATAAACAATTCTTTTAGCAGGGCATAGTGTGGCTCCCGGTCAAATATCTACAAAAAATAAAAATGTTGTTTTACATACAAGGCTAAATGCAATAGTCATGCAAAAAGAGTAAGAACCTACCAAAATGAAATAAAACCTATACTTACTGGATCAAAAGACAAAAGGGGTCTTGAGCCCCTTAGGCAATTTCCTGTCATCTTCAATTCAGCCAGTGTGTGAACTACAGTGATTAAAAAAAAAAAAAACAAACCATTATTACTTACAGAAAATATTTTGGACAGAACAGCAAGAATACAAACACAATAATGTCCACCAGCTTACCATTCTGCACCAAGAATTTAGCAGATGGTCCCTGTGGTGTGTTTGAAAGCCTTCAGAGGACAGGTGGTGGGGAAGAAAGAAAGAAAAATGTTAACAGCAGGGAGAATACATGCTGGATTTCCACACTACACCCCAACTAGCTATTCCTGCATTGAAGTAGTTTCTGTCACTTTTACAGCTGTACTGAGTTCCTTTAAAAAGCTCATAAACACTTGTTTTCTAAATAATTTTGTAAAATGCTTCTGCAAACAGTCACCAAAAGATGTTCACACTTTGTAAATTTGCACTATCCACAGAAGTGCAATATTAGAACAAATTTAACTAAGCATGAGTATTTCATGCATCTTCACTATTACCGTAGGAAACTTCAGCTAGAACTGAAGCATCTGCAGCTATAAACAGAAATGTAACAAAACATAACATTTCCTTACCACATGTAGAGATCCTGTTTCTTTTTGGCTTCAAAAAAGATGCACTTATTGCAGTTTTTCATTTCACACACCTACACAAGACACATCAAGTTAGCTGCTTACAAAATCCTGAATACATTTTTGATAACTTTCCCCATTCATCTCTAATATTTTCTCCTCTCCAAACTGCAATTTCAAAAGCAAAGATCTTGTCTTATGAAATGACATCTACTGACACCCAAATTTTGGTTAGGTTTTAAAAAAAAATTCACATACTTAGTACAAGGAGTAATAACCTCACTAAAGCTACAAACAACCTGATAAGCCTCTCCAGATACAATCACAAGAGCAGGAGCTGAGACATTAGGTTCTAGGTTCAGAACTATCAACCTACTACTACATTTGGGCTGGCTGCATATTTGTGTCCTGCACTGTTTAAGCATAAGCTGTACTACACTTCTCACCTACACAGAAAAGCACATGGTGCTGTATTTCTTCGTGATGAAAATCTGTATCTAATTATAAGTTTCATTCTGGTTTTAATAATCAAAAGTCAACTTTTGGCTGTTTGGGTATCAGTAATTTTTCACCTATGAAGTTACACTTTGAACTTGGTTGCCCCTTTCCCTTGCATACTGAATTTCCACAGAAAATAAAATAAAATAAAGAAGCACCAAGATAAAACCTGAATTACCTCATTGATTACAAATAACTGGTCTTTACGGTCCATTTTTGTATCTGGAAGATAAAGTCAACATTTACAAGGCTGGAAAACCAATTCAATACAAGAGATTATTGTAAGTCAGGTTTTTTGCAAAAAATTTACTAGTTTATAAACAAAACAGTAATTATCAAATTGTCATGTTATGGAATATATGGAATATCTAAACATAGCAACAAAACCAACTGTGCAGACTCAGGAGTGATGCCATAGGATTCAATTTTCCCAGAAAATACTATTATACAAAAATTGCTGTACTTGTTGGCTCAAAAGGTGTTTGTTTGAGATACAAGTTTCATCAAAACTCTTCTGTACCACATTTAAAAAAAAAAAAGAACAAGTTGTTAGGAGCTTTTGGTTTAAAAGCATTCTCAAAATATGTTAGGAATGATGTTCAACCCCTACCAGCTTTAGAGTGAGGCATCAATGTCCTTAAGTCCTGCATTAGGTGTCTTGTTCTGAAGTTAATTCCACGAGAGGAGAATATCAGCACTCGCTCCTTGTTTTTCCATTTGCCCTAGAAAAAAAGACACAAGAGTCACATGGGAAGCTGCTAGCCTTAATGTTATTATAATGCAGCAAAATTACAGTTTGGACAGTGAATACAGAAAGACACAGCAAGAACCTCCGTTTTTATCTCCCGTGCAGACAGACCCACGCTCTCAGCAAGAGTGGAGACTGCCCTACAGAACAGGGGCCCTGCTTTTACAGGAGGAGCCGTCCTCATCCCGATCCACAGCGTGCTCCCGGGCACAGCCTTTCCCTCCCACCCGACTGCTAAAAACCCACGTGCGTCGCTTATTTTCCTGCAAAATGGGCTCAGGAACAGCTCCAGAGCACAGCCAGCTTCTCCTGTCGAAATTGCGAAATCTTTGTGTTTACACGCAGTACTTTACGTTTTTCCTACAAGCAAACAATTACCAAAACCTTCTCCGTATGATTCCTAAATGGAACAGGCACACTTTCCACACAGCCTCCGTATGCAAGAGAACTGCCCAACTCTTCCCAATACTTCTGAGACTGAGTTAACACATCTTACCGACATCGACCAGGACAGCGCTTTTCGCGTATTCTCACGGAAACAACACACCGCCCGTTTACTTTTACTTGTGCCGCTATTATAAAAGACCACGAACAAACCCCTCTGTCACGGCTCAGCCGCGTTCCCCCACACAACCGGAGCGCCGGGCCGAGCGGCGGTACCTGGGACACGGGCGGCGGGATGCTGTATTCCTGCGGCGGGATGCTGCCATCCCTCGGGCCGCCCTCCGGCGCCGCCTCGCCCGCGCTCGGGGCGCTCCTGGCGCGCTTCGCCTTCCCCGCGGCCAGCGCTCCACGCTTCCTCTTGGCCGCCATCCGTGCGCACGCCATGCCGCGAGGGCTCCTGGCCCGCCCCGCTTCCCGCGTCACGTTTCCTGCGCTCGCATTTCCTGCGCTGCCGACGCTGTGATCTCACTTCCTGCGCTCCCTCCGTTCGCCGTGCCCGCGCCCCGCCTCCTGCATTCCCGCTTCCTGCATTCCCGTCTCCTGCGCTCCCGCCTCCTGCATTCCCGCCTCCTGCGCTCCGCCGGCTGCACTGCCGCCTGCGGCGTTCCCGGTGCTGGGCCATGCCGTTCTCGGCACAGCCGCCCGCCAGCGGCGAGCGCTACGCGCTGTCGGCCAGCCTGGACAATGCCCGGCACCTGTCCAGCCTCCTGAGGGCCGTGCACTTCCAGGACCACGCCACCTGCCTCGCCACGGCCAGCGGGCTGCGCGTCACCGTGGAGGATGCCAAGTGTATCCAGGCCAACGCCTTCATCCAGGTACCGGGACACGGGCGAGGGGCGGGCGCGGCTGCTGCAGAACCTGCACAGGCCCCGGTTACCGCCGCTGTCAGGGCACCGGGGGGACAAGGAGTCACTGGACAGGGTCCAGCGGAGGCCACAAAGATGAGTAAAAGACTGGAGCATCTCTTGCGAGGCAGCCTGCAGGAGCTGGGTCTGTTTAGCCTGGAGAAGAGCAGACTGAGTCCCATTAATGCGTATAAATGTTTCAAAGGTGGGTGCCAAGAAGATGGTGCCAGACTCCTTTCTGTGGTGACCGTGACAGGAACGAGGGCAATGGGCATAAAATAAACCACCGAAGTTTCACCTCAACACGAAGAAGCACTTCTTTATGCTTAGGGGGGTAGAGCACTGGAACAGAATGCCAGAGAGGTCTTGGAGTTTCCCTCTCTGGAGACAGTCTAACCCCGCCTGGATGTGTTCTAGATGTGTTCCCGTGTCACTGCTCCAGGTGACTCTGCCTTGGCAGGGAGGTTGGACTGGATAATCTCCAGAGGTCCCTCCCAACCCCAACATTTCCATGTGCTCACCTGCAGAGAAGGGGAGACTTTGCTGGAAGCAAGGCAGAGATGCCTGAGCTGGCATGGAGGAAGGGCCATGGTGAGGCTGCCCTTGTTTATGGGTGTCCATGCTGCTGGAATTCCAAACCCTGCCGCAGTACATCCCTGAGCACTTGACAGGGTAGTGGGTTTGCACCCTCATCTAATGTATTAGTGCCCTCCAAACTCATGGCTCCTTCTGGCTGTGCTGTGCTTAGTTGCACGGGAAGTCCTCATAGTATCCCTCTTTAATTGTTTTGAGCTATAGCTCATCCCAAAGCTAAAAGGTTGGATTTATGTCAGTTTTGAAAGAGTACTGATGCACAGACACTAGATTAAAGATGGTTGTGCTATGCTCAAAACACCCCAGGATAGGGTTTTCCCTCTGGGTTGCCAGGAAAATATGAAATTACTTTTCCAAAAGCAGCTCATGCCACCCCGGTTTATTTCTGAGACACTCCGTTCTTGTAGGTACCACAAAGCAGTGAGTTCCAGTGACAGGATAGCAAGGAGCAGTTTATCCCTATCAGGCTAGTCAAAGGCAGGATTCAGCACATATTTCAGAGTGGTGAAGTCACTGTTCTGATCTGTTCTTATGTCCTTGTAGTGTTTAGAATGCTTATTCATGCACTGAGCATAAAAAGTGTAAGTATTGTTACTGGAGAAGGGTGATACATTGTACAGTTCCATGAATGTTTCTAGCTCCAGAACTAAGCAGCTCTAGTTTTACTGTTTGTAGGTTGTACTTAAACCATAATAGACAAGTATTTAGGATTTCATGTTTATGCCATCTTACCTCGTTTCAAGTGTGGTTTGATTGTGTTTTCCTAGTTTTGAGGATGAAGACCCATTTTTCTAGAATGACTGCTGTGTTGCATGTAGAAATCACTTTGTATTGCACTGCTTTCCGGATGGGAAACCTTGAAGTTTAAACTGTAAAATAATTGCAGAAACTCCCAGTTTTTCATCTCTTTTCTTTTACTTATAGGCAGAAATTTTTCAGGAATTTTCCGTTCAGGAGGAGTCTGTGATGTTCCGGATCAGTCTGTCTGTTCTTCTGGACTGCCTCACCATTTTTGGAACCAGCTCCTTGCCAGGTGTGGTGTATTTCCATGAATCCACAGGAGGCTGTGTGGGTGCTGCAGGATGAGTACAGTACATGGAGTGATACAATGGCAGCTTTCTGGGCAGTTCTGCCCTTGCAGTTCTGCCTTGAGCTCCTCATTCCTCTACAGTTTTCTTTGTGGCTGACCTAAAGATCTAAATTGAGTGTACTAAAGAGCACTGTGATTTTGGGAAACCAGAGGGTTAGGTGTTGATAACCTGCCACAGGAGGGTGTGACCACAGCACAAGCTCAGCTGCATTAGCTTCAGTTTGGGTTGCACAAGTAACAAGAGTAGTAAGGAAGGATGATGTGAGCCAGAGAGAGCCACAGGACCATGAGGATTTTCCAATTCCTCTAAACTGTTTGTAGTATGTCCTAATTGTCACAGCTGGTGTTTCTTTTGTGGTGGGTGAAATTATTTGGATTTGAGTTGTCTCCACGCAAGTAATTTAATTTTACTGCATAATCATTAGCATTTCGGGGGGTATCTGGGAGGCAGCACTAAGGTCGATCTGTGGCCTGTGTGCCAGAAAAATGTGAGTTTTCTAAAGTGATCAAATGCCCTAGTTGTGGTCTCTGCAGAATGTATATTTCATTCTCATTTTCAGGAACATCAACGGCCCTTAGATTGTGTTACCGTGGTTATGGGTATCCCCTGATGCTGTTCTTGGAAGAAGGAGGAGTGGTAACAGTGTGCAAAATCAACACTCAAGAACCTGAGGAGTTGTTAGATTTTGATTTCTGCAGTACAAAGGTTGTTAATAAAATTATCCTACAGTCAGAGGGACTGCGAGAGGCATTTGCTGAACTGGACATGACCAGTGAAGTTCTGCAGATTACCATGTCTCCAGATAAACCCTACTTCAGGTACTAGAAATGGCTTTCAACTCAAATGTTTGTGCTTGGCTGTCTTTGGTGAGGAGTGGACGTTTTCACAGTGGAGAGAGGGGAATTATTTTAGAATTAATTCCTTCATTTCAGGAAGAATTGTAATGAGTATAGCAAATCACAGTATGTTCTCTAATTAACATAGTAATGAGTATTTTGACAACTTCATAAATGTGACACTGGTGTGGACAGTTTAGCATTTTTGATTAAATAAAGTGAAACAAACAGCACTGTTTTGTGAAACTGTCATGTGATATGTACAATGACTCATTTTGGTGAGTTTTTACAGAGCTCTCATCAGGTATTTTGAGATGGTGCTTTTTGTCTTCCAGGTTATCCACTTTTGGAAATGCTGGAAGTGCACATCTAGACTACCCTAGGGACTCTGATTTGATGGAAGCATTCCACTGTAACCAGACCCAGACTAACAGGTTAGAAAGTGGCTGATGCCCTCTGTGCCAGGTCATGCATTCTTGATGGGAAGTTTAAAAACTGCTTTTGCATTGCTGTAACATTTATTTTATTAGTATGAGGGGGCAAAAATACTCCCCATCTGATAAAAGGCTGTGTCTGTAATCAAAAGCTAAGTGCTGACAATGACAGTTTAATGTTGTTACCAGGGAAAGACCAAATAAGCGTCTTCCTAATTGATTTGTGTTTATTCTGGGTCTTTATTAGTGACTAATCTTTCAGCTTCTCTTTGTGCAATGTATTTTTTTCATATTATTGAAATAATATGTAATAATAACATTTTCTCCTGCAGATACAAGATTTCTTTGCTTAAACCATCCACAAAGGCATTGGCTTTGTCTTGCAAAGTGTCCATTCGAACAGATGCTCAAGGATTTCTGTCACTGCAGTATATGATTAGGAATGAAGATGGACAGATCTGTTTTGTGGAATACTATTGTTGCCCTGATGAGAACATCACTGAAGCAGAACTGTAGGTGTGTGTGCTAGCATCTGTAATATATTTTTGGTTATATAAAATATTATATTTTTTTACAAAACTAAATGAAAGCTGTAAAGTTTGATAGAGTTAATATTGTCTTTATTTTTTTAACTCTGGAATAAGAAAGCTGAAAACTTTCATTTTCTTCCACTGCAAACATTTCTTAGCCTTGACTCAAACTGAAAAAGCAGAAAGGGGAGTTATGTCTTATAGACACTGCTTCCAACACAGATGTTAAAGTACTGTTTGTGTAATACATTGATGCTTTTTGCAGCATTCTCCAAGAATTTTGTCTGTGCTATGTTTTTTTTGTCTTTGGCCTCTAGTAAGCAATTACACAGGGGAAAATCTGGATACTAGTTGTATATTGGCCAGATAACTTTCAGTGACTTAAAACCAAATTTATCTTCAAAGAGAACAACATTTTCAAACAGATCTCGTAATAGCAGCAGGTGGTTTCTTGCTGGGAAATGCTGACATGTTTTGTCAGTGAAGCCACTAGGCTTCTCCTCATCTTGATTAATTTTTAATATAATTCAATTCCTTGGAATTCCATCTGACACCAATTTACCATTTTGTCTGCAAACTGATATTGAATTGGTAAATTGATATAGAGGCCAAGATTTACTTACTCATTACTCACAACTGTCCTGGCAACATCATTGTTTTGGGTCAATAGTTTATTACACATCTGCAAGAATGCTGCTGCTGAGCGGTTTCTGTGTACTCATGTCCCTGCTCCTACTCTGCTGCTCTCTACTGGTGGTGCTAAGAATCGTAAGAGAGAAAAGTTTCATATTGAAATTTTTTAATGAATTTTATTTGCCTTCTCAGTAGCCTTTTTCAGCAACAGGAGTTGCTGCTGAATGGCAGCAGGGCAATATCTGCCTGTGTCCCATGGAGTGGTGTATTCAAATCTGCTAAAAATGGGGCTGACCTCATGCTCACTGACAAGAGAGTGTGGTTCCTGGGCAGTTTTCTACAGTGTCCACCTCCAGAACAGCAGATGGGCTGTGTTTAGGTAAAAGTCCACTTGTCCTTTCACACCAAAGACCCTGCACAGAACGGGAAGTACCTGGGAGCAGCCAGGCACTGGACTGGGTGCAGAGTCTGCAGATCACACACAGAGACTGAGCCCTGCCTGCCTCTCTGCTGTGGGGTGGGATCAGAGTCAGCAATCTCCGGGTGGTTTCTGCAGCTTTAGACTCTAGTCAAGTTTTGTTGTCTGTCAGATGAGGTCTTGCTTTGTTTTCTATGGAAAACAGTGTGTTCATATGTTACCAAGTTGATTGCTTCACAATTCAGCAGAATCCTTTGGGTTTATTTTAAAATGTTTTTGTGGATAATTTTTCACATCTTGCTTATGCCAGGAAGAGTATACTTTTGGAATACACAGTGTTATCTGTTCACTTTTGTTGTTTTTTGTGCAAATCATCCATTTGTCGCAATAAAGCTTACAATAAAGTTAACTGTTTGAAATTTATAAACAATTACAAATTTTTGAACTACAAGGCTGACGTAGATACCTAATATTCTAAATTACTCTTATTTACTGGGTGTTTTTTCCAAACTAAAATATACCCAAGACAAGTATAAAATAACTTCCTTCTGGCTTACTGTGTCAATTCTTCAATGATAAAAAGGTTATGGTCTCATTGGGAGTCATTAATGTTATCCCTGACTACTGAGTATCAAGGATGATTTACATAATCCCTGGGTGACAGGATAAAAATGGAGTTAGAACACATCACTTTCTTGCTGTGATTTATTTTAGAATATCCAAGTTTCTTGTATTGTGTTCAGGAATTGTGGCTTAACATTTGAATTTTTATATAATTGCCTACAGATGTATTGTATTCCTTTTTGAAATAGTACTTTAAATGATTTCTTCTGTGGCCTACCAACAGTAATCGTAGAAGCAATACCCTTAGAAGTTAGAACACCACAAAATACCAGAAAAATAACTTGCATTTAGTATTAGATATTAAAGGCACATATGGTTTGTGCAGGAGTTAATGTCCGTACCCCAGATGGGCTGAGTCCTGTCCTGGGCTCCCAGAGGTAGGGAGGTGCTTGTGCACTTTTGACTTCATGGATATGGTTTTAGGGAGACAAGAACGTGGGAAATCTGGGCTACAGCCTTGGTGCTGAAAGGCAGTGAATTGATTTAGGATCCATCTGTGATGTATTCAGTTACATTTCTGCATTCAAGCACAGTAAAATAAAAAGGGTGAAGAGGAGGATGGCGACTAAAAGGGCACTGCATCTTTTTGACCTAGTAAGTTACATAAATTCTGCAGATATCCACTGCTGCACTGGATTTCCTGCTACACTTTGCATGGATCCAGAACTCAGGTTACCTTTAGTACGTTTTGTCTCTGCTATTTAACAAGAGCTTTCCCCTTGCAGACTACAGGAAACCTGCAGCAAAGGAAATGTTCAGCTCACTACTTTTTGTAGCATCACAGAAGAGGCTTGTCACAACTCAGATTTTGCCCATCTGCTTTCTTAAAAGGGTGCATGCAAGTATTCAGAATTACTTGTCTTGTAAAGTAAACCAGTTCCTGTGTTGGCAGCTGTCACCAGTGCCTTCTACCCCATTTCAGCTGTGGTAGGGGATGCCTGGCAGCTCTGATGGGCAGCACTGGGGGCTGTGGACATCCCACATCCAGAGGCCACAAAACTGGCAAGAGATTTCCCCTCCAATCATTTTGATTTGTGATTTTCAGAGCAGGAACTGACCACAGGTTTTCAAGAAGACACTTTGATTCCACCAGAAAACTACTGCCTATAGGCCCAGACTCCCCACCAGTCTTTGAAGATTCCAGAAGTCAAAATAATGCCTTTGGCTCCTGACAATCTTTATGCAACAAAACACCAACAGTCCTGGTGCTACTAGTATCTCCTGCCTCCCAACATGTTGAATTTTTTGTGTCTCCTTGGCTTTCTACAATGATTGGGATCTGTAAAGCACAAAATTCTCCAGGGGGAATTCAGTTCTATACCTCTGTTTCAAAGATAGTGGTGGGAAGGAATCAGTGGTTTGGGTTTTATTTACTTTAGTTGTTTATTATTTATTTACACATGGATTTACAAGGAAATAGTACTCTTGTATACTTGACTAGATGAGTCTTTAGTGAGGTTAGTGGAGCAGCTGGAAAAGCTGAGATAAGCCATATGCTGTTTCCTGTAGGTGTCTGTTTTTAATCTCGTTTTGTAGCAGCTTGAAGAATCCAGCAGGTGGGTCTTACCAAAATAAATACTTAGAAACTGTCTGTAGTAGCACTAAGCAGTGCTTTTGCTGAACAGTAACATTAGAGAACACTAACATTAAACTGAACAAACACAGAATTATTTTTAAAATGCTGCTATTACAGAATAGTCACTTGATGACTTCTTGTTGAGACAACTAATTTTTATGTGAATCTCTCTTTGAGGGGGTCAGGAATGCTTAGGTATAAATGGAAGAGATAAGAAGTGGGTTCTGCCTCTTTCTTCCCTGCTTCTGCCCTTAGCTGGGTCTAAGAATAACAGGGCAGTGCATAAGCATTGCTACAGATAATTGCTAGGGCTCCTCCAGGCAGAGAGTGTTGGAGAGGGATGCAGTCGGGTGCCCCACACGGCTCTGATTTCCGTGGAGTAAAAGACTCTCACAGAAGTGAGAAGTGGGTTTGAATGTCCACCATGACTGTGAACGTCAGTCTGTGTAAGTACTCTGGAGGAACACATCCAGGAGAGTCTAGAAACAGCTGCATTGCCCAGGAAAAACTTCCCTTTTGTAATACCATTGAAATTCTGAGCAGAGAGACAATGGGAATTTCATTCCCACTTTCATCCCCTCTGCATCAGCGTTTGAGGTGGGGTAGTGGGTGGGGGGCTGTGTCTGTGTGTGGAGTAAAACTCTCAGTGGAAAACTGAACAGCCTTCTACCCCTTCCAATTCAGATGGAGTTGACCAAAAAGGAGCAAGTGAGCAGAAAGCTGGAGGTCTGAAATAAGAAATCTGCCTGAACATATGTTTGGATTTTACCCCATAAAAGCCAGTGGAGTGCAGTAATGGGTTTGCAAGGTAAGGGACAGGTGGAACACAACTCCAACTAATTAGGCACTTGAACCCCTAATCAACCAGAAAGAGACTTAATCCATGGAACAGAAAGCAGCTAATAAGCCCTAAGTTATGTCCAGGTGTTGGAAAGATAAATTACTTGTTGGCAGAATTGCCTTGTTAAGCTTCAGTGATCTCATACCTAGAGGCAGGTTAACAAAATTAGGGAAGAAGGATAGTATGTAGACACAACCATGCAGAACTTTAAAGCCACAAGGACATATGGCAGAACTCCCAAAATAGGGAGGAAACTAATAAGGCCAACTCAGCAACTGTGCTGAAACTGGCTGCCAGTGGGTAAAAGGAATTCCAGCCGGGAGAAATCATGACAGAGTGACTCATAGCCCACCATATCAAGAGAAGATGAAGAGTGAGGGTTGCAGACTAATGAGCATAAGAACTGAGAGAATCATTAACTGATAGAAGATAGAATACTGATTAATAAGAGAACAATGTCTTTTGTAGCCCACTAACATTAATGGCTATGTTTGCTAATGTTGAGGGATACGTCTGGTGCAGGCAGCTGTGTTTGCAAGCTGAATTTGCAGCAGGTTGAGCTCTGGGTGGGAGCCCAGGGAGAGACAAGAGGCTGTGAACTGCCAGCCCTGTGATTGATTTACAGAGGGCACAAAGCCCGCTGAAACCAGCCAGGGTGAGCGGGGAGACACAGCAGGGGCTGGCAATTGCAGACATTTTGGATAACAAAAGAGATGAACACGGGTGATGCCAGCTAGGTGAATAGACACAGAGAGGGTGGCATGTGCCAGCTGGAGAGGAAGAGCTACACTTGCACCTGGGTAGACAGTGAGGGTGTAAAATTCCCCGAGGTTCCTTTTTTGTGGTCCCTCCTCAGAGGTATTGAGCTGTTTCTGTGTGCCGTGAATAAATGGCTTTGTGAGAAACAACTGCTCACTTTGAAAATTTAAAAAGGTTTATTAAACCTTAACAAAAATACAACAAGGGACTACGTAAGGAAAAAGCTGCAGTGCTGGGAAGTGCCCTCGTGGATACCATATGGCCAGTTCATCTTCAAGATGGATGCTCAGTCTTTTATACCCCTGGGGATTGCCCTGGCCCCTTCCAAAGTCTGCCAGTCAGCTCTTCTGTGTCATTTATCACTGCAGACTGCTTGCTTGTAACTTCATTAGAGATCAGGTGTTGCCATGCTGCACTCCCTAAGCAACCCCCTGAGCTTTTCCATTCCCAACTGCCCCATACAAGGGGCACACGTGCAGCCTTCTTTATACCTGTCCTAGACAGCCCCAGCAGTCTGATGGCAACCATAGGGGAAAGGGGAAAAGGGAAAGGGGGGAAAGGGGAACTGTGGGAAGAACAGAGGACATCTGAACTACAATAACATAACTATATATCACTAAAGCTTTTATTAATATTCACACAATAGTTGTTGTAATATATGGTAGGGATAATTCATGCTATTAATGTATGGTGTAAAATATTGTGAAATCCAAACCATGTCTTTTGACTGTCCTGGCTGGGAGCAGCTGTCTTATTCAGATTCAACTAGTTCCCGGACACACGTTAAGATAGCCATCGACGCTTTAATGTAAGAATAGAAGCTTCCAGGGCGATAATCAGTGGTTCCCTGAGTTGTTGAAAGTAACAGCTAGAACCGTAAGGAACAGCGGAAGGAACACCTAGGACTGGAAGTAATACCTAGAACCGGAAGGAACACCTAGGACTGGAAGGAACATCTAGGACTGGAAGGAACACCTAGAACTTGAAGAAACAGCAGAAGGACACCTAGGATCGGAAAGAACACCTAAAACCAGAAGGGACACCTAGAACCGTAAGAAAGACCAAGACTCCTGCACCCATTCTGGAGTTTTTCCAGAAGCGTGGCGCTTCTCCACAGCAGGTAAGCAGCCTGGGGCCGGGGCTGAAGCCTCCCAGGATCACGTGGCCCCTCAAGCTACAGCTGCTGGGCCCCCTCAACCTTTGAGGCCATCACAGTGGGGTGGGAAGGCAAGCACTTCTTGGGGGAAGCTGGGGAAGTTGCTCCCTTGGACAGCACTCCAAGGCTTCCCCATGCTGCCTCCTCCAGGTACCACGATTATCGCCTTGCCGATGGCATCTATCAAGATAGTCAACAGCACCACCCTGGTACATCTGAGTACACAGCTTCTCCAGAGCCAATTGACACCAATGGCACACCTGGACGCGGCTTTTGTCCACCTCTGCACACGGAAAGCAACAGTGATGCATGTGAAGAGACACAAAGAAAATTCGGTCATCTTTGCTTCGGGCAGAATAAACTGTATAAAACCTCGCTGTGCAAAGCCACGAGCGTGAGCTGGGGAGACTCTGACACTCAGGAGGTCAGATCCGTGTTCACCTGGCGCCAATCCCGGGCTCGACGCTGTCTTTTTGGCTGTGGTGGTTTTGAAGACCGAACTTTGGTCTCGCAGACAATTAATAAATCTGCTAAATTTTTGATAATTTTGGCTCAGGATTTGATCATTTATAACAGTTGTCTTTT